ACATATTTGTTCTTTTGATAAATATATACTCTTCTCCAATACCACAACTCAAAAGCTTTGAGTCTTCTTTTGTCGCCCTTATTCATGGTCCAATTTTCAGGTGCATAGGAAGTAGTTGCAAAGATCATGGCTTAGATCAGGTGCACTTTAGTTTTAAAACTGACATCATTGTTCCTTAACACTTTGGAGAGGTCTTTGATGGCACATTTTTCCAATTCAACACATCTTTTGATTTCTTGACTGCTGGTGCACAGAAGAAGCAAGTTTTATTACTTCCATTCCTAAGTAAGTTCATCTAGTAGATGTGGCCAATCTTTCCAGTTTGTGGAGATCACTTTCCACGGTATATTCTGGCATTCACAATATTTACTTTCTTCAGGTCACTGGAGTGCTTACATAATTATCTGGAGTGCTTGCATAATTATCTGGGGCACCTGACCAGTCCAGACAGTTGATCTGGAACAGAGGTCCTGCTAAATTAATGCATCTGATTTCCCTAGATACACAGGGGCTCCTTAGTACAGCTATGGAGAAGACAACAGTCAGCCTAGGGTTGTCATCACCCAGTGCTGCAGTCACCCTGCTCAGACCATGAGCAAGGCTACTGCAGCCTCCTTCCCCGCCCCCTCCTACTCTTGCTCCCTGAAGCTCCTCCTCTCCCACTGGAGGCAGATCCCTACCACTTTGCCCAAAGGTAGACTGCAGCCGCATGCTCTCACCCTAACTGGTGTGTAGGGGAGGGTGACAGGTTAACACGCTAGGTGCTGGGTGACATCTACCTTCATGCTGACAGTGCTTTGGTTGCCCAGAGAACTCTATGGCACCAGCCTTCTTGCAGCTAACTCAGGCTCTGGGGTCATTCTGCTGCCAACCTCACTGACAGAGTGACAGGCTTCTGTCTATTCCATCACCCAGAGACACCAAGAAGGAATGAACTGCACTAACAGGTTTTTACCCAGTGAGAGGCCTTGAAGGGAAATCAAAGATGGATTTGAAAGAAGGAGCCGTTCTTTTTGCAGCTTCTGGCATGACAGAGCCCATGTGTGCG